TGTGCAGTACTAAAAAGTTAGGTTGTTCCTCAAACTACAAGGCTTTGGCCTTGCTAAAACTAAGGACTGTGGTCCTACAGCCTAAACTAAAAGGGCTTTGGCCCTTCTAACAGCTAAGGACTGTTGTCCTACTAAGATAAAGATCCTAATAAGCTACAGCCTGATCTAAAGACTGTGGTCCTTCTAATCTAAGGACTGTGGCCCTACTAAGCTAAAGGTTAAGGCCCTCTGAAATACATGCACTTTATTAATGTTAGTACCCTCCACGTTGGGGCACACAGTTCAAGCTTCAGTGAGTTCTGGGGGGACACAATTCAATCCACTACAGCAGGACTACGCAGAAATTTAATATGGTGTCCTTTTCAGAGCATTGTATTGGGAGGCCCATGATGTTAATTTGTCTCATTACTGGTGATCTTAATTTTTACCATATGGTTAAGGTTTTTCTGAAAGGTCTTTCAATGGTAAAGTTACTGTTTTTCCCTTTGTAATTAGTAAGTATCTGTGGCAGATATTTCGAGATTTTATTCATTCCTGTTTCTCATCATACCTTCACAGACTAGTGTGAGCACCCATTGATGATTCTTGCCTGAAACAGTGATTACTGTGCTGGTTGCCAAGTGGTGATATTCAAAAACCATCATCCTTCTCTTTCAGTACCAATTTTCTATATTAGTCCATTTCTGTTGCTTATGTCGGAAATATGTAAAACTGGGAATTTATGAGAAAACTAAATTTATTGCTTACAGTTATGGAAACTGGGAAGTCCAAAGTCCAGGGAAAACATCTGGTGAGGGCCTTCACTGTTGGTTGGTGACTCTTCACAGCAATGTAGGGTGTCATATGGCAAAGTGTCACATGCTGAGAATGGCAGAAGCAAGAGAGAGAGAGCTTTTCATGCTCTCCTTTAAAAGCCATCAGAACCATGCCTGTAACCACCAAAAACTATCAGTGGATTAATCCATTCACTTGGGCATGGTCCTCACAATCTAACCACCTCTTCAAGGCCCCACCTTTCAATTATCATAATAGGATTTCCCATCTTCTTACCACTGTCACAGTGGGTGAATTCAAGTTTCCAACGTGAATTTTGGGAGGGACAGATATATCCAAACTATATCAACACATAAGATAATTCTACTGTAATTTAGAGATTTCTCTTTCCCCCATTTATTTATTTATGTATTTATATTGTTAAGGAAAAAATCTGACATTTGTTGAAGATGGTAAGGCTGAGAAGTTTAGGTTTATCATCAGGACTATTGAGCTAGGCATAGGGACCACTGTAGTAGGGCTTTGAAGTGGGGGAGAGATTGGACCCAACTCCAAATGCATCAAGGAAGAGTGGGAATTTATAGCAAAGAAGCAGGGTGAGGGTCAGTGGATAGAAAATCATTAAAAAGAAACATCATGGGTACGGGGGATTCTTGCTAAACTGACCTAACAGGATTCTTCTCAAAGGCAGGTCAGGGTGATCAGACATCACCTGGGGGATGGTGGGAGATGAGGAGTTTTATTAGATATTGACAGTGATCACATATCAAAGGTGGGGGTTCTGGCTAAACTACTTGACACAGGTGTTTTGTTAAAATTAAGTAACACAAAGCAAATGCAGAATTTCAAAAGTTGAGGCCTAGTTGGAAAGAGAATTCAGAGGAGCCAGACTAGAGTTAGTCAAGGAGAGATAGTTTGTTAATATCAGTATGGACTCATGGATTCTTATTTTAGTTCCAGTTGCTATCATATTTTGTTGCTCTGATTGTCTCAGATTTGGCCATTGAGAGCTCCTGCATGATGTTTTTTCTGTCCCTTTGATGTGTCTCCATGATTTTTTGAGCACAATAAGTTCTAGGCTGATCTTGTACTTCTCCTGTCTCAAGCCTGGAATTGAATCAGCCTTTTCTCTAAGGAACCTTGGTTTCTTTTACTGGAGAATATCTATCAGCCAAAATATAGGTGCTAAGTGCTCATTGTGACAGGGATGTCATTACTTCCAGGCCCTTTGAGTGACAGAGCTGGGCGGACTGTGTATGTGTGTGCTTTTACACCTGTATGTATGTACAAGCATGTATATATGTGATGGATTCACACTGACACTTCCATTCCCATTCCAACACCACGGGGTACATTCCAGCCTGTCCCCTTTCCATGTTTGTCACTCCATTCTCTGTCACTGAGAACCTGGCTCTCAGTATACATTATATTTCTCAAGCTAGAACAATTACCCCAGTCTTTAAAAAACTTCTGCATATTTAACCTTTAAGTAAAAAGACAAAACTCAAGGAGGTATACTTTTTAAATCTGAATGTCACTTGATTGTTACAGGATGCTCTTTGTAGGTGTTCTTTCCAGTGTCCTGTCCATCGGACATGTTTGTGACTTAGTGCCTAAATGAAGTGATATACCTATTAGTGTCACCATAAGGAAGAGAGATCTCAGAATTGGGCTCATGTGCTCTGTGCATGTTGAGGGAGAAATGTGGAACTGAAGCAGTGCTGCCTTGTCACCTTGGTGCTTTTGCTTTGCAGCTGAACATTCCATCTTCTTCTAGAGCAGTAGATAAGTACCTGGTGCATGTCTCTCTCTCTCTCTCTCTCTCTCTCTCTCTCTCTCTCTCTCTCTCTCTCTGTGTCTGTCTCGGTCAGCTCTGGTTCCCTATCCCTTGGTTTCCCACATGGCAATACACTATAGGCCAGATGTTCACCTGCACATGCAGCAGAGTTATACCCCAGAAGAGAAATCCCAAAGTTATGAGACTGTGAGCTTATATAGGCCTGCTGAACACTGGCCCATCCTGCCCACTGGAGAGAGAGAAAGAGTGCAAGAGTGTGTGCATAGGAGAGCATGAGAGCACTTCACTCTAGGTTGTAAACAGTTCTACTTTGGGGGAGAGAAGGGTAAAGGTCCCTAGCATGCCTGGAACATAAACACTGGGGGAGTCTAAATCTCTCCTCAGAAATACACTCATCCCAGCTTCCCAGGTGTGATTGTTCGCCCATCATCCTTTAACCAAGTTTGCTCAGAAAGCCTGAACAATGAGACTTGAAAATATTCATGGACAATTATGTCCCAACAAAGTGGCTGACTATTGTGGCTCTGTCTTCATCTAGACCTTTCCTGATGCTAATTCTGAAAGTTTTGTTTAGTTGGAGCTGTTTAGAAGCTAGAGCAATTGCATAGAAGCCAATACAAGTTTTTGAAACCAGTCAATGAATAAATGTGGTCTCTTTGATACTGATATTTGTAGACTGACATAACTTTTATCATAGAACTGTCCACGGTAGAATTGCATTTAGTGTTGGGCCACATCCTCGAAAATCCGCAATGGTGATATTAACAGCAGAAGCTCGTCACTTGGACTTGTTTACCCAGCATGGCCAGGGAAGGAACTCATCCACATAAGGGAGTTGTATCTTTTTGTTTAGTTTAGCTATTTTGGAATGAAAGTTTTGTGAAATATTTTTCTTTTCTATCTTGAGCAGTCTCACACTTTGAGAGATTTGTACCACCATTTGGCTGAGGGCTAGAAACCTCCATTTCCCAGGTTCTATGTCGGCTCCATCATTCCCCAGGCGGAGCTGCCCAGCTTTGTTTGCCTTCTCTGTAGGGTGGAGTCAGTACCTCCTTACTGCACGTGTAGGGTCAGAGTAGCACCTGTGGACAAATCCATCTAACACAGAGGCACTTAGGAATGCCCGTGCTCCTTTTCATGCCCTTATTCAGTGGTCTCCTGTGGCTAGGGAAGTAAAGCTGTGAAGTCACGGAGTTACTTTCAGTATCTGCCTGTTGTACAGAAGTTTACTGGGGAAAGAAGTCGGTGTTTTTTCTTTTTTTCTTTTTTCTTAAGTAGGCTAGGGACTTGCAGATCATCCCACAAAGCCTCCTCTGTTTTTCAGTAACTTTCTATTGGACTAGTGCTGTGAGCCAGCAGCTGCCTTTCTCTGTGGGGATAGATGGAAGTTGGCTCAGACACAGACCCTGGTCTCAGGAGTTTATGCTCCAGCAACTTTCTAAATAACAATAATAAAAATTAAAATCTGCCTTAAATGGAACAAGGTGATAGGGGTGTCAAGGTGTATTAGCCCGTTTCTGTATTGCTATAACAGAATACCTGAGACTGGGTGATTTATAAAGAACAGAGGTTTATTTGGCTCATGATTCTGGGAAAGCTGTGTCTGGCGCAGGCCTCAGGCTGCTGCTTCTCATGGCAGGCAGCCTGAGGGTGCAAGAGGATCACATGGCGAGAGGAAGCAAAAGAAAGAGAGAGAGGTGTGGGGCTCCTTTTAACAGCTAATCCATTCCTGCAAGAGCTCACTCACTATTCACCCCCCCCCCCCCCCCCCACCAGGGAGGGCATTAATCAATAATGAGGGATCCACTGCCATAACCCATACACCTCCCAACACTGCCACATTGAGGATCAGATGTGAACATGAACTTTAGGGGAACAAACTTATCCAAACTGTATCACAAGGCAGGCAGAGCTGTTGTAAATTATGTGTACAAAAATCTGTTATATCCATGATTAGTTTCAGGTTGTTTGTTGGAAACATTTTTTTGGGGGGGTGGGTGACTGGCCTGTATGGGATTTGAACCCTTGACCTTGTTGTTATAAGGCTACATTCTAACCAACTGAGCAAACCAACCAGCCCAGAAACTTTTTTTTTTTTTTAACTTTTTTAATTTTTTTTTTTTTTTTTTTTTTTTTTTTGTGGCTAGCTGGTAAAGGGATTGGACCCTGAACCTTGGTTTTGTCTGTCCTACAGTCTAACCAATGAGCTAATTGACCAGCCCAGAAACATGTTTATTGCTTATTGCACATGAGAGACTGTGCTAGTTGTAGTTTTGGGGATGCAACAAGATGGGGCCCTTGGCCCTTAAGAGGCATATAGTCTAAATAAACAATGGAAATACGGCAGGGCTGAGTAGAAGGTGCTATGTGAAGGCCCAGGAAGAGATATCCTGCACCCTGGGTGAGGGTGAGACTCTGGGAATACTTTCTGGAGAAGGTGATGTGGTGATGAAGCATGTTCGTGAGCTAGCCGTGCCCAGAGAAGGGAGACTACTGGGCAGAGCTCCCAGGCTGGGTAGGCCCCAGGATGGGAGAGAGCATGACATGTTGGAGAAGCTGAGCTTGATGGCTTGCCTGTCTGTACAGTTTGACGTGGGGGAGGGGCAGTGAGGGGTACTGATGCCTGAGGGGAGTGGTGGGCAGAAGTGATTTTAAGCAGGTGAGTCACATGACCAGATATGCATTTTAGAAAGTGTGGTGAATGGACTGGAGGAAGGCAAGCCTAGAGGCTCATGGAACCAGATAGGAGGCTACTACCATGATCATGGTATACGATCACAGTATACAGTGATGGCGCTGCATTCAGGTGGAGGGGAGCAGATGGAAGCAAAAGTGGCGAGGACGTCAGAGGATTCAGGAGAGAGCCAGGTTTTGGTCAAGGCAGAGACCATGAGATGCTCAGTGATGAGTTTGAGATATGTGGGGTCAAGAATGGGGGATTCTAGGGGGAATGGAAGACAACTTTGATGATTCCATATCAGCTCATGAAGAGTTTCTTTGTGCTTTTATAATTGCACATATTCCATTTTATGGGTGATTGTTATCCATTATACCTGGCTTCTGTTGCAAGTGGTTTCCAGCCTTTTCTATCTCAAAGGCTCTCGTGTCATGTCTTGGGAGTGCACATGTTGAGAGGCTCACTGCTGGCAGTGGGGCTGCTGGGTCCTGGCTCTGCTCCCTGCCTGCTCCCTGCAGGCTTTCCCACTCAACGGTGGCCATGCTGAGCCCTCCTCTTCCTTGACTCTCAGCTGCCCCTAACACGGCTAGCACTCCTGCTTCCTTGGTCCTCTCCTCCACGTGGCTCCAGTGGCAGCGCATGGCTCCACTCTGCCGTGGTTGCTGCTCCCATCCTGTGCTGTGTCCTCCCGTCTTTCCCACCTCCAGACTGGCTTCTCACATGGTCCGCCTCCTGTCTCTTGCTGGCTGTCTCATCCAGTCTGTGGCTTTACATACTGTATTCGTTTGCTAAGACTGCTGTGACAAATTACCACAAACTGGGTGGGATAAATAACAGAAATTTATTCTGTTATGGTTCTGGAGGCTAGAAGTCCAAAATCAAGGTGTCATCAGGGCACGCTCTCTCTGAAGGCTGCAGGGGAGGCTCCTTCCTTGCCTCTTCCAGCTCCTGGTGGCTCCCAGCAATCTTAGCCTTCCATGGCTTGTAGACACATCACTCCAGTCTCTGCCTCCATCTTCACATGGTGTGCCCCTTGTGTGTCTTAAATCTTCCTCTCCCTTCTCTTAGAAGGACAACCAGTCACTGGATCCTAAGGCCCGAATGATCTCATCTCAAGGTCCTTAATATAATTCCATCTGTAAAGACTCTACTTCTAAATAAGGACCCATTCACAGGTATTAGGAGTTAGGACTTGGGACACATCTTTTCGGAGGACACGGTCCCAGCTTCTGCACACACTAATCACACTCTGATGACAACCATGTTTGTATTTCCAACCCAGACTCCTTTGCTTAGAGGCTCCACTTGGATGTTTGAGAAACATCTCAAAGCTAAAATGCCCTGACTTGTTTTCCCCTCCCAGGCCATAGAAGCTGCTCCTCACCTGTCTGCTCCATTTCAGGACCTGTGGCTCCACTCTTCCAGGTGCTCAGGTGGGAACTTCAGACTCATCCCTGACCCCTCTCCTCCACCCCACTCCAATTCATCTCCACACCCCTTTGCTTCACCTCCATTTCTGACTCCCCCATTGGCCAAAGCCCCCCACCCCGTCCATGGCAGCAGCTGCCCCAGCTCTCCTGTGACCCCTCCTAGTCACACAGTCTGCTCTTCACACACACAGCATAAGACATGCCACCTTCTGCTCCAACCTTGCCATGGGTTTTCATCATGTTCATGGCACCCAGAGTCTTCACCACAGTCCATAAGAATCTGTGTGGTCTGGTTCCATGTCACGTGCTCAGATACCTTCCCTCCTCCCTGCCACCCCACTCCTCTTCCACCACTCTTCTCAGCCACATCTGTCACCAGGCTTCCTCCTGCCTCCAGGTATCCCAGGCAGCTCACTCCTTCACTCAGTCAGGTCTCTCCTCCCAGGTGCTTTCACTGTTCCCAGCTTCCTCATTCCGCCATCATTCTCTGTCTCCATCTGGTTTCCCTTATCACCTCCTGACATTTATCACCTCCTGGCATACTCATTGACTGGTTGTGTCTGTGCCCCTTACCTGTTTCCTTGTTGTCTGTGCCCCTACCTGGGTCCTTGTCATCTGTGCCCCCTACCTGGGTCCTTGTTTACCTGTTTGTGTCTGTGACCTCCTAGAGCCCACACTCCATCAGTACGTAGGACAGTGCCCAACACATGAGTATTTGCTGAAGGAAGGAAGGAATGACCTCATTTGACCCCATGGCTTTCCATGCAGTTGCCTCATTAGCCACCCCCCTCACATGCTAGCACCTCAGGCCTGTAAGAGGCTCTGTTCCCTGGTGATGGCCCCAGACAGATGCTGCTGAGGTTGAGTCTAAGCTGGGCCTCTGGCCAGCTCTGTGTCCTGGGCCACATTACTCAGTCTCCTCAGATGTAAAGTGGGTGACACTGGAGTACCTCCCACCAGGGTGGGTGTGAAGGCTGGTTGAGTTAAGACATGTCATGTGCTCAGGAGGTGGCCTGGCTGCTGACACCACTGCTACTATTAGAGGACTGGACACCCCATTTCTTTTAACTGTCTCCCTCAGATCATGCTGCTGATTCTTTCCCCGTCTTGCTTAGCTTAGACTAGATTTGCTTCTGTTTAGCACAGTCTCCTAAAGTGTTACTTTTCTAGTGACCTTTGGTGGTCCTGCTAGTGCAGAACAAGTGATGTGGTTGCCCTTGACCTCCACATGACCTTCTCTGGGAGTCTCTGACGTGCACCATGACATTGCCAGTCTGTGCCAGTTGTGGTCCAGCCCACACTCCCCGTGCCAGCCCTGCAGTGCCTTTCTGCATTCACATCACAGGCGCTTGGTAGGGTCCCTGGCCCAGCATTCCAGCTCACCAGTGTATTTTTGAGGTTTCATGCTGTCATCGAGCAAATAGGCCATTGTTTACATATTTGTATCACGTATACCTGTTTACAAGAGTGCCACCTTAGCCTCCTTTGAGTACGTCCTTTTCATTCCTGTCTTAGGTCCCTGCGTTAGCCATTCCTTCCCTTTGGAACACCCATCTCCCTGATCTCAGCATGGCAGTCAGGTGTTGGCTTAAATGGCATCTTCCCAGAGAGGCCTGCCCGACCACCCAGCCAGGAAAGTCGCCATGCACCCTCTCTCGCTTCACCCACACTCGTTCTCGGTGCATGGCAGCCTGAGGTTCCTCCTGGTTATTGTCTCTCCTCCTCGCCTGTCTTGCTTGTTGCTGTGTCCGGGACCCAGAACAGTGTCTTGCATGTGTAGAAATTCACCACATGTTTACTGGGTGGTGAGTGAATATGGCCGGAAATGGAATATAGCAAGTGGGGGTCCAGGACAGTAAAATAAGTGATCACTAAGTAGGTGAAGGGCTACTGGGTAGGATTTGGTTTATACCATAGTGCTAGGATAGTTTATTTCTTCCCCTGTAAAAATATGTATTTTTAAAAAAATTGTATGAATGCCGTGGAATAAGGGAAACAAAAGAATGTTCTGTAGCTATTAACTGATTCTCTTCTGTTGTTTCCCCAGACACCGCCTGCTTTCTACTCAAGATGATTTGATGTCATATGAACCTCTTGCTGACCATGATGGCTGCGCAGACACTGAGCGCAGACAGCTACCCGGATGGGCGGCGGGTGAGGGCTTGGGCTTTATTCTGCACTCCGTTGCAGCCACCTGGCGCCAAAGAATGGCCGCGCTGCGCATACCCATAACTCAATTTCTGTGAGGTCGCACACTCAATTTTAAGAATACTCTTCACTTGTTACCTGTTGGTTTTCAGAAAGATAAGCTATAGAAGTATTCACATTATTTCCTTAAGTAATACTAAGATTGCCAGTGATTTTGATTCTCCCGAAATCATATGACAGTTTCTTGGGGATTTACCTCTTTAACATCAGAGTTAATTAGTATTGTTGCTTTTACAGAAAAGCTGAACGATTGGATAATCACAGATTTTCATGTTGACCAGTTGCTAATCTGAGTGTCTTACTTAATCAGCTTTTTAAAGGGAATCCTGTGATTTCATCTCCCCAATTATAAGCTTGAGAGGGGACTATGCAATAATATATTTAGCAGTTTCAATGCTTGATCGTTTTATCTTGCACAAGCTTGGATGACTGTGCCGTGACAGCTGGCTTCTGGACTGTCCTCAGACTGTGTGTGAGACTTGAAGCTACCATATTTTGTGTTCTGTGACCTGAAGGGATTGAGGAGGAGGAGGAGGAGGAGCAGGTGGAGAGGTTCAGCTGAGGCCTTTGCTATCTTTCTTGGGACACCTGGGGTCTTGTTCCAGGCTCTGTTGCTGGGTGTGTTTCATTCTCCCTCTTCTTCTGGAGCCCTGACGCTTATTTCCATGGAAGAGATCCAGCCCTGCCGTTTGCTTTCCTGCTGAACAGGGTTTTGTTACAGAGTCAGAAAGGAGTAATGGAGCACCCCTGCCTCTCTCCTCTCCCAGCTGGAGGATTTTAGTGAGAAGGTTCTGGGACCACACCAGTGGGGTGTGAGAAGGGTGGTCAGGAGCTGAGGTGTGCTGTGCCTCCCTTTCCTTTGTGGCCAGTTTTGCACCATTCCTTGTTTGGTTCCTGTTGCAGAGATTTTTTTTTTTTTTTTTTTTTTTTTAACTGTTTTTTGCCTCTTACAGGCATTGAGGGAGGGAGATTCTTTATTGGGAGAATTTCAGACCTGTCACAAATGAGTAGCATATTGGGCTTGAGTCCTTTTTGTGATAAGATAAGAAGAGCTGGACTATTCATTTATCAGTCTCTTATTGTATTACTAAATATGAGGATATGTAGCAAGAAGAGATCCAAGAGTGAAATTGTATGTGTACAGGTCCCTTCAATGGTATGTATTTATTTTTATTTTATTTTAAAAATCATAAGCATTTCACAGATATTGGTCATCTCAGTTCTTAAACAGCTTGAAATTTGACCTTTATTCTATCAATTTTTAAAGCATATTAAATTCAAAGGTGTTTTTTGTTGGTAGTATTCTTTATGTATTTGTGCCAGTCATGTAACTGACAACTTACTATTCTGATTACATTCCTGTTTGAGAATAGAATACTTAGTAGCAGTTTATTTTGTGTTTGGTGACAAAAATTGTCGTCCTTCTTTTACAGATGCAAGTAGTAACAGAGTTAAAAACGGAGCAAGATCCAAACTGCTCTGAACCTGATGCAGAAGGAGTGAGCCCTCCCCCTGTGGAGTGTCAGACCCCAATGGATGCAGACAAGCAGGCCATTTATAGGTAGTGCATGAGAGGGGAGCCTGTGGGTTTTCAGAGGAGTAAAGAGAATAGAAAGCCTTGTTAAGTGAAACACTAGAGCTGTTAGCTGGGCAGAGTAGTGAGGTGCCTTTATGATGTGGTAACTGCTTGGGTGAAAATTTTCTCAGATTATGACTTTTTTCTAATATCTAAAAAAAAAGTCTTAGAATATAAATCTACATTCTGGGTAACCTTGCACAAAGAGATCTTCAGGCCCAGGTGGTTTTACTGGAGAATTTTACCAAACATATGAAGAAGAAAACAGCAAGTCAGCATAATCTCATCCAGAAAGCAGAAGATAAAGGCATGCTTCCCAACTCATTTTATGAATTGAACATCACTCTGCTAAGACCAGACAGAGACAATACAAAACAAGAAAAACACAGACCAATATTTCTCACTAACTTACAAGTAAAAATCATTGATGAAATATTAACAAACCAAATCCAGCAATATATAAAAAGAATAATACACAGTGACCAAGTGGAGTCTGTCCTGGGAATGCAAGACTGGTTCAGTATTCAAAAGTCATACAGTGAAATCCACATGGTGATTATATCAATTGATATAGAAAAGCATTCAACAAAATTCAACATCCAATAATGATTAAAAGCTGTCAGCTGGGGCTGGCTGGTTAGCTCAGTTGGTTAGAGCATGGTGCTGATAACACCAAGGTCCAGGGTTTGGATTTCTGTACTGGCCAGCTGCCAAAAAACCAACCAACCAACCACACAAAAACTGTCAGCAAGTGGTAGTAGCAGGGAACTTTCTCACGCTGATGAAGGGCATCCACAGAAAACCTAAAGCTAACATCATACTGAATGATAAAGGACTGAATGTTTTCCCTAAGATTGGGAATAAGGCAAAGATATCCACTCTCACTACTCCTGTTCAGCATTATAATGGAAGTTCCAGCCAGTGCAGGGAGGCAATAAAAAGAAATAAAAGACAGACCAGATCAGAAAGGAAGAGGTAAAACTGGCTGTACGTGTAAATGACATGAGATTATCTCTATAGAAAATCCCAAAGAGCCTACCAAAAATCTAGAACTAAATAAGTGAGTTTAGTAAGGTTGCAGGATACAAAAGCAACACACAAAAGCCAATCCTATCTCATACTAGTGATGTACAATTGGAAAATCAAAAAGACAATACCATTTACAAGAGCTTCAAAAGAATTTAGATAGAAATCTAACAAAATATGTGTAGAATCTTTATGCTGAAAACTATAAAATGCTGATGTAAGCAATCAAAGAAAACTTACATGGCAGGACATACTATGTTCAGGTGTTGGAAGACTCACTGTAGAAAAAGTCTTAGGATATTTTTGTACATATAGACAAGCTAATTCTAAATTTTATATGGAAGACAAAAGAGTTAGAACAGCAAAAATGATTTTGAAAAAGAAGAATGAAGTTGATGGAACCAGTCTACATCATTTTTAAGATTTACTATAAATTTGCAGTAATTAAGGCATTGTGGTATTGGTAAAGGGATAGACACATAGATCAGTGGCACAAAATAGAGAGTCCATAAATAGATCAACACAAATATATAATCCATTTGATCTTTGACAGAGGTGCAAAAACAATTCGATGGAGAAAGGATAGACTTTTCAACAAATGCTGTTGGAACAATTGAACATCCATGTGTGAAAAAAAAGATCCTCAACCTAACCTTCCTTACATCTTATATAAAACATTTATTCAAAATGGATTAGAGATCTAAATGTAAAATTTTAAACAGTAAAACTTTTAGAAGAAAACATAGGAGAAAAGTCTTTGAGACCCGGGTTAGGCCAAAAGTTCTTAGGACACCAAAAGCATGATTTATAAAATAAAAAGTTGGTAAGTTGGACTTAATCAAAATTAAAAACTTCTCTGCCAAAGATGCTGTTAAGAGAATAAAAAGACAAACTAATGTTGGAAAAAAATACTTGCAAATCACATTTTCTACCAAGAAATTGTATCTAGCATATATAAAGAACTTTGAACACTCAACAGTAAGAAAACAAGCAGTTTAATTAAAAAGCAGGCAAAAGACTTGAAGAGACATTTCACGAAGGAGGATACATACACAGGTGGCAAACAGCACATGAAAAGATGTGTTCGGTACCTTTAGTCATCAGGAAATGCAAATTAAAGACACAGTGAGGAAAGCACTGTGCACCTGTTAGAATGGCTGATGTAAAAATCTTGATAACACCAGCTGCTGACACACGGTGCTGAGCAGCCAGAGCCTTACACAGTGCTGTCGGTATGGAAAATGATTTGTCAGTTTGTTATAAAGTTAAACATACACTTTTTATATGACCCAGCAGTCACAAATACTCCTGGGTATTTACCCTAGAAAAATGAAAATTTAAGTTCACACAAAATCCTGTATGTGAATATTTTTTTAATTGTATGGTAAAATATGCATTACATAAAATTTACCATCATAACCATTTTTAGATGTACAGTTCAGTGATTTTAAGTTAATTCACTTGTTGTACAGCCATCACCACCACCCATCTCCAGAACTTTTTCATCTTCCCAAAATGGAACTCTGTACCCATTAAACGCTAACTCCCATCCTCCTCCTCCTAGCTCCTGACAGCCATCAATCTAGTCTCTATCACTGTGAATTCAACTATTACAGGTACCTCACATAAGTGGAGTCATGCAGTGTTTTTCCTTCGTGTGGCTTATTTCACTTAGCATAAAGTCTTCAGGGTTCATGCATGTTGTAGCATGTGTCAGGATTTCATTCCTTTTATTCTATTGTACGTTTATACCACATTATCCATTCATCTGCCACTGTACACTGGGGTTGTTTCCACCTTTGGACTATTGTTAATGATGTTATGAACATAGGTGTGCAAATATTTATTCAACTGCACAATTCTAATGTTTATAGAAGCTTTGTTCACAATTGTCAAAAATTGGAAACAAACCAAATGTTTCTCAACTGGTGAATGAATAAACAAACAGTGGTATATTCATGCAATGGAATGTTACTTGGCAATGAAAAGGAAGAAGTGTGGATACATGCAACAACTTAAGTGAATTCCAGCTGTATCATGCTGAGTAAATGAAGGCTTTCTCAAAGGTTTCCATATTGTACGCTTTCACTTATATGGCATTCTCAAAAAGATAAAACTGCAGTGCTAGTGACCAGATCAGTGGTTTCCAGGACTAGAGGCTGGGGGAGGGAGACTGAAAAGGGAGAGCAAGAGAAGTGTTCTGGGGTGCTAGAGCTGTTCTGCATGTTAATTGTAGTGGTGCTTACACAAATCTATACATGTGTTAAAATCATGTCTGTACACCAACAACCGTCAACTTTACTGTTGGATAATTTTTAAAATAAAATTTAAGTAATCATAATTTTTTTTTTCCTTTTTGTCTTTTTTACTGACCGGGGACCGGCAATGGGATCGCAACCCTCGGTGTTGCGCCCGCACCATGCTCAGCCAGTGAGTGGGAACCGGTCTCCACATGGGATCCGAACCCTCAGCGGGAGCGCCGCCGCACTCCCAAGCGGCGCACTCTCCAGTGCGCCACCGGGCCGGCCCAGTAATCAGAATTTTTTAAAAATTGGTTTCATATACCTAAGAACCAACTGAATTAAAATTTTTTTATAAAACAATTCCACTCAGACTAGCTACAAAAACTATAACATAACTAGGAATAAAACTAACAAGTATATATGAACTACATAGAGAAAACTATAAAAATTTTAATGAAGAATGTACACAAAAAAACCTGATTCAGTGGAGAGCTGTTCCATATTCCTGGGTGAGAACACAATGTTATGAAGGTTTCACTCTTTCCTGAATTAATTTATAAATTTAAGGCAATACAATCAAAGACCAATAGGACTTTAATCAAAAAAGAAAAAGACTGATTGTAAAATTCAACTGGTAGAGGAAAACGTGCAAGCAGAGCTGAGAAACCGGAAGAAAAAAAAAATGAATAAAGTCACCAAGAAATTTAAAACAATGTATTAGTCACAGTCATTTAATGTGATACTAATGAAAGAATACATTGGTAATGGATCAGTATAACAGAATTGAGAGTTCAGACTAAGAGCTGTGTGTATGTATGAAAACATAGTGTATGATAAATGGAGCATTTCAAATTGATTGGCAGAGATTAATTAATAAATATTGTACGGACTATTGGCTATTTGGAAAGAAACCTGAGATTCTTACCTCACTTTGTTCATTAAAAATAAATTTCAGCTAGATTAAAGATCCAAATGTTTTTAAGATTAAAAATGTATAAGAAATTTTAGGAAAATATATATATAACCTTGAGTTGAGGCCTTCTTAAATAAAGCACAAACTCAAAAAACAAAAAAAGACTGATGGATTTGAATTAGCTCAATATAAACCAGTTACATGACAAAAGATATCATAAACAAGTTAAAAGATAGGTAAAAGACTGGGAGAAAATTTGTGTAATAAAGTATTAGCATCCTAAAAGTTTAAAGTGATCAATAAGAAAAAGACAAACAGCCTAAGATAAAAGAGACAAAGAAGGCAGGTCTCTGAAAAGGACAATAAATGGCCAGACATGAAAAAACGTTCAACATTGAGATATATATTTTGGCCCATCAGATTGGCCAAGACAAAGATCAGTAATTGTGGTGATGGCCAGGTTTGGGGGCGATGATCTCTCACTGTCAGTGAGAAGGTAACTGGGGATGTTCCTTTCTGTAGAGCATTTTGGCCCGCCCATAACTTTTTTTTTTCCCCCAACTGATTTCCGTTTCTTTTTCTTTTCTTTTTTTAAAATTGTGGTAAAAGACACATAACATAAAATTTACCATCTTAATCATTTTTAAGTGTACAGTTTGGTAGCGTAAAGTACATTCACATTGTTGTGAAACACATTTCCAGAATTTTTTCATCTTGCAAATCTGAGACTATACAAATTGTCTTTTCAGCTTCCCTGTCCCCAGCACCTGGTAACTACCATTCTACTTTCTGTTTTTATGGATTCAACTATTTTTGATACTTCATATAAGTGGAATCAATACTTGTCTTTTTGTGACAAATTATTTCACTTAACATAGTGTCTTCAAGGTTGATCCCTGTTATAGCGTGTGCCCCTAATAACTTTTATAATATACGTGCAATTCCATTTCTAGGTAGCTCCCCAAGAACTTAGGCTCTTCTACATTGTTTGTAAATGTTGAAAACTGCAAACAACATAAACGACCAACAAGAGGCAAATGGTTACACTGTTGGGGTTTCATACTATAGCTTGCCATGCTCCATTGAAGAACCACACAGATTTTCGTGGACTGACATGGATAGTCTCTTAAGCAGCATTGGCTACATGATTTGTGGGGCCCAGGCAAAAAGAAAACACAGAGCTCCTTGTTCCAAATGTGTTAAGAGTTTTAAGATCAGCCATGGCAGAGCATTAAACTGAGCATGGGGCCCTGGGCAGCTGCCCAAGTCTTACACCCTTGAAGTTGGCCCTGTTTGTATGATATATTTTGAAGAACAAACCAAGTTACAGAACCATGTGAGTGAGTTTATAGCATCCTCTGGAGAAGGATACATACCCAAACATTAACAGCAATCCCTTTTGGAGGAGGGGAGAGGAAAGGAAGGGTGGAGTGAAAGTGGTATCTGAAAGGATTTCTGCTTGACGGGTATGCTGAATTATTTCCAGGAAGTATGTGTTTATTCATTGTGTAGTTAAAAATAAATTCCAGAGGTATACCACTTCACACCCATTGGGGTGACTGTAATAAAAGACATTAACAGCAGAAAACAACAAGCATCAGTGAGGATGTGGAGGAATTAGGGTCCTCATATACTGCTGGTACAAGTGTACAGTGGTATGGCCACTGTGCAGAGTGGTCTGGCACCTCTTCAGAAGGCTAGACATGGAGTTACATATGACCCAGCTAGTCCACTCCCATGTGTGTACCCAGTAGAAGTGAAAACATGTTCCCACGAATCTTATACATGAATGTTCATAGCAGTATTGTTTGTAATAGCCAAAAGATGGAAACAACCCAGATGCCTGTCAATTGAATGGATCAACACAATATTGGGTATCCGTACAATGGAATATTGTTAGGCCATAAAAAGCAGTGAAGTGCTGATACGTGTTACAATATTGATAAGCCTTAAAAGCATTATGCTAAGTGAAGCAAGCTAGACATCAAAGGTCACATATGATTCCATTTATAGACAGTCCTCAACTTTACAATGGTGCCAAAGTGGTACACATTCAATAAAAATGTACTTCAGGTACCTGTACAGCCATTCTGTTTTTCACTTTCAGTCCAGAATTTAATAAATTACATGAGGTATTCAACACTTTAGGCTTCGTGTTAGGTGATTTTGCCCAACTGTAGACTAATGTAAGTGTTCTGAGCAGTTAAGGTAGGCTAGGCTAAGCTATGATGTTTGGTAGCTTAAGTGTATTAAATGCATTTTTGACTTAGGATGTTTTTATTTTTATTTTTATTTTTATTTTTTTTCCTTTTTGTCTTTTTTACTGACCGGCAACGGGATCGCAACCCTCGGTGTTGCGCCCGCACCACGCTCAGCCAGTGAGCGGGAACCGGTCTCCACATGGGATCCAAACCCTTGGCGGGAGCGCTGCCACGCTCCCAAGCGGCGCACTCTCCAGTGCGCCACCAGGCCGGCCCGACTTAGGATGTTTTTAACTCATGATGGATTTGTTGGGACATAACCCCATCATAAGTCAAGGAACATCTGTATATGAAATGTCCAGAATAGGTAAATAAAGATATAGAGATAGAAAGTAGATTCATGGTGGGCTGCAGTTGGGGAAAATGGAGAGTGACTGCTAATGGGTGCAGGGTTTCTTTTGGGGATGATGAAAATGTTCAAAAATTGACTGTGGCAATGGTTGCACAACTATGGATATAATAAAAACTGTTGAATTGTACACTTAACTAGATCAATTGTATGGTATGTGAATTATAGCTTAGCAAAGGTATTTTATAAAATAATACATAAGTATACACCAGAACATTCTCATGGAGAAGTAGAACATGTATTTGTTCTTTGTTCTTTTCTCCCACAGGCATCCACTATTTCCATTATTAGCTTTGTTGTTTGAAAAATGTGAACAATCTACTCAGGGCTCTGAAGGCACGACTTCTGCCAGTTTTGATGTGGACATAGAAAATTTTGTAAGGAAGCAAGAGAAGGAAGGGAAACCCTTCTTTTGTGAAGATCCAGAAACTGACAATTTAGTAAGTACAGTAAATGTTTTATTTTTATGTTTCAAAATTAAAAATCTGTGAAATTTTAAACTTCTAATTAGAACTTCACACTCCTCATAGTTCTGCTGAAGGGGAGAATTGTACAATTATAAAATAACTTATTTTACAGGGTGTGTAACTTCACTGTCCCCAAGTCTTCCAGCCTTCTCTATTACCATTTCCTTTGTTAAGCAAATAAAATAATTTGAGTCTTCATCCTAAATGGTCTAGGGGATTCACTTCTCTCCTAAATATTTGTCAAGGATCGTACAGGGTGTGTAACTTCACTGTCCCCAAGTCTTCCAGCCTTCTCTATTACCATTTCCTTTGATAAGCAAATAAAATAATTTGAGTCTTCATCCTAAATGGTCTAGGGGATTCACTTCTCTCCTAAATATTTGTCAAGGATCGTTGGGGTTGGGGTGCTCATGCAGCATGTCTGCGCCCAATTTCTCTTCTTGGCTTGTCCCTAATCATGGACATATGACTAATTTTATTCTCCAAGACAGCTCTGACACTGATTTGTGGTGCCCTCCTCCCAGAACCAGGGCTTCAAAGTCCAGGGTTCTCTGTGCTGTATAGAGGAAATGGAGATTTCCTTGGCATTAATGTCCTTGGTGCACCTCAAAGCAAGCTTTGCCTTTTGGTGCTTGTGCAGTGCTGTCGGCCTTTGTCAGGCATGCCGCTGTCTTTGCTCGCCTGCCTGAGCATAACTATGTTTGCCTCCCAGATCTGGGATTAACACAGAGACCCAGCATCAGGGTATGGTCACTGGATTTCCATTAGAGCCTTCTAGGTCCCATATCAAAACCTTAGACAGGGTCCATAGCAGAAAAGGGTCTCTGGAAAACTTTTTCCTGAGTAAATTACCTAAGTCTTAGCTTTTTCTTTTAAAATTTCTCACTAACTTTGAGTCTGTCTCCTCCTCTCTGAAATGAGGTTAACAGTGTGAGCCCTTCTGGGCTGATGATCAGAGGCTCTCTCTGTCATGCATCTCTCCTTCCACTGGCCCACACCTGGCCTGGCACAGTGAGTGGAGAGAAGGTGTTCTCTACACCCTGCCAAGCTGGCAGGGACCAAGGTTCTCCTGCCTGGTGGTGCAGCCATGTTAGCACAGGGCCTAGCAGAACTTGTTGTTTGGTAATTCTTGTTGATTGATTGATTGACTGATTCATTCATTCATTACACAAATACATATGAATTACTACCACCACATATAGGCCAAAGAGATCAGCTTTGGAGTTCTCTTCTTTTTTATTTTTGGTGGCTGGCCGGTATAAGAATCCAAACCCTTGAACCTAGTGTTATCAGCACCACGCTCTACTGTGTGAGCTAACCAGCCAGCCCTGGAGTTATTGATTCTCAGGCAAGTGGTGCTTACAATAATGGTTTCATTATTGGTATTAGTTATCTACTGCTGTGGGATAAATTACCCCCCAAATTAGTGACTTAGTATAAAGCTATAAAACTTTTAGGAAAATCATAAGAGAAAATCTTTGGAGTCTAGGTCTAGGCAAAGAATTCTTCAGCTTGATACCAAAAGTATGATCCATAAAAGGCGGAGTTGATAAATATCAAAATTAAGAACCACCTGTAGGTGGGTACAGATTTATCCCTATTTATGGATACGGAGACAGGAGCAGAGCTAGGGTGAGCGAGGGTTGCCCAGCCACAGATCAAGTCAGTAGTGGGGCTGGGCTGCGGGCCAGAGCCTACACTCACTGCGCTGGGACACGCTCCCAGTGGTCCTCTGTATTCCCCACACAGCAGATCCAGCCAAATATCCAAGCACAGGTCAGTGGCCCTAGAATGATTCATCAGTTTGTATGAGTTCTGATATTATTCCTCTTCTGTCGTTGGCAGTAGAGATGGTTCCATCTAATAACTAAGAACTGGTATGTGTGATAATGATAATTGTGCTACCTTTTTCTCTTCTGAAAGTCTTCATTTTCTCTGCTTCTAGATGGTAAAAGCAATCCAGGTTTTGCGTATTCATCTTCTTGAGCTGGAAAAGGTTAATGAACTCTGCAAAGATTTCTGCAGTCGATATATTGCTTGTCTAAAAACAAAAATGAACAGTGAAACTCTGTTGAGTGGAGAGCCTGGAAGCCCATACTCTCCCGTACAGTCCCAGGTACTTATGTTTGGGGTCTTACTCTACTTCTTGGTTACTGTGACATCTGTGTTAACTGGTGATACCACCAGCTCTTTCAGAATTGCTGGGCTATCTTAATGGCTATCCTGCTTTTAAGGACCCTCCAGACCTCTGAACCTGGCTTGGTTTGGCAATGAACTCCCTCAATCCAGAGAGACAGTCTATCTGGGCTTCCTGCAGGGTATGAAGCAAGTCCTCAATCTGCGTACTGAGCCCTGGTTCCATGTTTACAGAGGGTATAGACCATTCATTTCTTTCTTTCTTTTAAAATATTTTTATTTTTTATTTTAAAAAATTATGTAAAATACACATAAAATTTACCATCTTAACCATTTTTAAGTGTACAGATCAGAGGCATTAAGTACAGTAATCCTCCCTTATCTCTAGTTTCACTTTCTGTGGTGCCAGTTACCAGAAGTCAACCACAGTCTGAAAATATTACATGGAAAATTCCAGAAATAAAAATTGATGTTTTAAATTGCACACTGTTCTGAGAAGCACGATGAAATCTTTCACTGTCCTACTCCTTCTGGCCTGGGACGTTAATCATCCCTTTGTCTAGTGTATCCACACTGTATGTCCTACCTGCTTCGTTATCAGATAGACAGTATGCAAGGAGAAGGTGAGTATGGTACAGAAAGATGTTTTGAGAGAGATCACGTTCACATAACTTTTATCATATAACTCCTATTATTTTGTATTGTTATAGTTGTCCTATTTTTATTATTAGTTATTGGTGTTAATCTCTTACTGTGCCTGATTTATAAATTAAACTTTGTCATAGGTACGTATATATAGGAAAAAGACATAGTATATATAGATTTCAGTACTATCTGCAGTTTCAGCCATCCACTGGGGTTCTTGGACTGTATCCTTTGCAGATAAGGAGGGGGGACTACTGTACACTTACACTGTTGGGCAACCATCACCACCATCCATCTCCAGAGCTTTTTTATCTTCCCAAACGGAAACTCTGTCCCCATTAAACACTTACTCCCCAGCCCCTGGCACCTACCCTTCCACTGTCTGTCTCTGTGAATTAGATGACTCCTGGTGTCTCTGTAAGTGGAATCCTACAGCATTTGTCCTTTTGTGACGGGCTCATCTCACTTAGTTTAATTCCCTTAAGATTCATCCACAATGAAGCACTGTTGTATTTTAGCCATTCTGTTGATGTGTACTGATATTTCATTGTGGTTTTAGTTTGCATTTTTGTGATGGCTAATGATGTTGGACATCTTTTCATGTGCTTATGTGCCACCTGTATATCTTTGGTAGAGTGTCTGCTCATGTCTTTTGCCTATTTTCTTTCTTTTTTTTTCCTTTGCCCATTTTCAAATTGGATTTTTTTAAAACTGTTGAGTTTTGAGAGTTCTTTACCTATACTAGATAATAGTCCTTTGTTGGACATACAGTTTGCAAATATTTTCCCAAAGTCTGTAGCTAAGTATCTTTCCATTGTCGTAATGGGTCTTTTGCAGATAAAGTCCAATTAATTTTTAATTTTTTAATTTTGATAAAGTCCAATTTATCAACTTTTTCTTTTATGGATTGTGCTTTAGATGTCAAGTCTAAGAACTCTTTGCCAAGCCCTATATTCAAAAGATTTTGTCTTATGTTTTTTTCTAGAAGTTTTGTGGTTTTACATTTTACATTTAAACCCATGATCCATTTTGAGTTAACTTTTATATGAAGTGTGAGGTTTAAGTTGAGGTTCCTTTTTTTGTCTATGGACATCCATTTACTCCAGCATCATTTGTTGAAAAAGCTGTCCTTCTTCCATTGACTTGCTTTTTGCACCTTTGTCAAAAATTAGTCAGGCGTATTTCTGGGGCCTATTTCAGTATTTTGTGTTCTGTTCCACTGATTGTCTATACTACATAGTCTTGATTACTGTAGCTATATCATAAGTTTCAAAATTGGGTAGACTGATTTCTCCCACTTTATCATTCCTTTTCAAAATTGTTTCAGCTATTCTAGTTCCTTTCCCTTTCCGTATAAATTTGAGAATAATCTTGTCTGCATCTACAAAAAAATCCTACTGGGATTTTGATAGGAATTATGTTAAACCTGTATATCAATTTGCAGAGAAATGATGTCTTTAGTGTGTTGAGTCTTCACGTGCACAAACATGGTATGTCTCTCCATTTATTTACCTCTTCTTTGATTTCTTTCATCAATGTTTTGTAGTTTTTGACATAAGTCTGATACATGTGTCTTTAGAATTACACCTATTTCATTTTTTTGAGTGATTGTAAATGGTATTTTATATTTAATTTTTGTGTCCATGTGTTCATGCTAGTATATACAAATAAAATTGATTTTCGTATCTTTATCTTGTATCCTGTGCCTTTGCTGAACTCACTTATTAGTTCTAGGAGGTTTTTTGGTAGAGTCTTAGGATTTTCTACCTATTCAGTCATGTCACCTGCAGATGGGGTCTGTTCTACTTTTTCCTTTCTGATCTGTATGCCTTTTATTTCCTTTCCTTGCCTTTACGTTGGCTGGAATGTCCAGTGCTGGCTCTCTTGAATGAGAGTGGCTAGAGCAGACTTCCTTGCCTTGTTCCCCATCTTAGGGGAAACCTTTCAGCCTTTCACTGTTACTTATGTTGGTTATAGATTTTTCCTAGATGCTCTTTATCAAGTTGAGGAAATTGCCCTCTATTGCTATTTTTCTGAGAGTTTTTATTGTGCTGAATTTTGTCAAATGCTATTCTGTATTGATTGACACGATCAAGTGGTTTTTATTCTATAGCCTGTTAATATGGGAGATTACATGGATTGATTTTTCAAATATTGAATGAGACTTGCATTCCTGGAATAAGCTCCACTTGGTCATGGCACATAATTGTTTTATATATATTCCTGAATTCTATTTGCTAATATTTTGTTAAGCATTTTTATGTCTATATTCATAAGAGATATTGGTATGTAGTTTTCTTTTTTGTACTGTCTTTGTCTGATTTGGGTATCAGGATAATACAAGATTCATAAAATGGATTGGGAAGTGTTACCTCCTCTTCTGTTTTCTGGAAGAGATTATATAGAATTGGTGTTAATTCTTCTTTAAACATTTAATAGATGGAATTCCCCAGTGAAATCTCAGGGACTTGAAGAGTTCTTTTATAGGAGTTTTTAAATTGTGAATTCAATTTTGTTGATAGTTATAGGACTATTTGATTTATCTTTCATATTGGATTAGTTATGGTAGATTATGTTTTTTGAAGAATTGGTCCATTTCATTTAAGATATTAAATTTAGGGGTATGCAATTGTTCTAGTGTTCCCTTCTTAATCTTTTTGATGACTGCAGGGACTATAGTGATCTCCCCTCTTTTATTCCTGATATTAGAAATTTGTGTCTTCTCTCTCCTTTTTTTTTCAGTCTTACTAGAGGTTTGCTTATGTATTGATCTTCTCAGAGAACCCATATTTTGTTTCATGGACTTTTCTCTGCTGTTTTTCAGTTTTCAATTTTATTGACTTCTGCTCTGGTCTTTATTATTTCCTTCCTTCTACTTGCTTTGGGTTCATTTTATGACTCTTTTTGTTGGATCTTAAGGTGGCAACTTAGATTGTTGATTTGGATGACTTAACTTTTATTTTGACCAAATTAAGGTGGCAGCCTTAAGCATATGTACCAAAGCTTATATATTCAGATCAATGGTAGCCCTCAGAGTAATCACCTTTGGATGATATCCACTTATGCTATTTAACTGCTCAAGTGTTGGAAGCATGTGTATGCCAGGCCTGTGCTAGACGCCCCTTTCCCCTGCCAGCCACCAGCCTAGCCGTCATAGTATGTGGATAAAGCAGCCCATATAGATCTAACTTCAGATGGATGAAGTTTCTGATATGGTGGTTACAAGCACTGTGTGAAGCTGGCTTCCCTCTACAAACACGAATACCTGGAGGGAGGGGGGCACACATGTTCTGTGCTGTGATCAGGGCTGGCACCAGCGGGTGACTCCCCAGCACCACTTGGAATACCTTCAGCCCTGATCACTTCCACTTACCTCTCAAGTCTGTGGTGTAATCTTTTAAACATGCTCATCCTGTCAAGGAGGATTTGGCCATGAAAGACTCAGAGTCATCTGAGCCAAATCTAATGAAAAAGGCATTTGAGCAGATTAAGCGATTGCAGTCAGAAAGGAGGGTCTTCCTAGTCACACTTCCAGGGCCTTAAGATGTGTGGCATATGGCAGTGAGGTGAAAAGTAATCTTTTGGAAGTCACATTGCAAACTAACATTTCAGGATTGCTCATCATATCTAATACACAGTTAGCATTACACCTCTTGGTTGACACATGCTTTCCAAAAGCCTCATCATCTGAGTTGGCCTCAAGCATCTTTCCTTCATTAATGATATCATTATGCCACTTATACTGAAGTTTTAAACATTGTCTTTCTGAAGTTTCCTAATAATTCCTTCAATGTGTGTGTTCTGACTTTCAGCAGATTCAAAGTGCCATTACAGGCACTCTTAGCCCTCAAGGAATCGTGGTGCCGGCCTCTGCGCTGCAACAGGGAAATGTAACCATGGCAACCATGGCAGGTATGATGATGAAAAAATGGAAACAGATAACATAGTGTTTAACTGTGCTGTTAGCAGTCCCTGGAAAATCTTAAGCTGTATCATTAATTGATGATAATCAAGTAAAAATGCAGTCTTAGTCTTAGTGTTACTGCTATACCAAAGACCATTACAGGAAGGGGACACATTTCAGAGTTCACTGGTGTATGTGGAACATTGCAAATACAAAGCATCCTGAAAACAGAATGGGGCATGTAGGGAGGGGTAGAAACTTACACTAAAAACCTCACAAAGCAGCACAAAGGGAAACCTCACAGAAACAAGCACCATTGATCAAAAAGCATAACTAGAATAAACTATTTATTATCCAGTAACTTGGCCAAATCCTTAACATGTACTAATATAAGGAAAAAGTAGAAAGCAGGCAAGCCAGAGGAAGGGAATTGTGAATCTTTGGTCGGTCATTGGTGCCCTGTGCTGGGCATGCTGTGAGGAGCCCAGCGCCTGCCAACCTGCCCACCACCCCACATGCCTGGTCTCGGCCGGTCCACGGAATTTGTTTTGGTAGTTTATAGTGAAAAGTCAACAGGCAAAGTATTGTTGATTATTTGAAATGATTAAAAAGCTCATTAAACTAGAGATTTTATTCTTTCCATAAGCATATTGAGAAGAGTGTTTATCAGCTACTTAAAAGTAGTTTAATTCTCTTCATCTCCCTTTTGAGGTGGCACAGTGTATCAGCCTGTCACGGTTGTCACTCCTCAAGGCCAAGTGGTCACTCAGGCACTGTCACCTGGGACGATTAGGATCCAGAACTCCCAGGTGCGTGTGCCGTTTCGCGGAATGGTTTTGGGGCGGGTAGAGCACACATGTGGGGCACAGGCAGAACAAGCTTCTGTCCCTCTGCGTGAAGATCATCTGTCTCACGTAGTAATCTCTAGTTAATCTCAATGTCAGTGTTTTGTTTCTTTTTACTCTTTGTTACACTCACTGTAAAAAATTTGCAAAGTTCAGAAAAGTCTGAAGAAGGAGGAAAAAAAGTCATTTATAATTCCCCCAGAAGCAGCCCCATGCTCCAGTGTGAACATTGGATTGTGTGTGTGTCTGCCTTGCGTGTCCATCAGGAGATTCGAGGTCCTGCAGATGCCCTCTTCCCAGGGTCCCCTGGAGGGTACGGCAGAACCGCCAGGCAAGTTTTTCAGACCAGCAAGGCCTGGCCCACACCTCCAGTGTGAGAATGTGGGGTTGGGCCGGGGCCGTGCTCTGGAAAGCTTTCCAGGCCTCTCTGCTGTCCTCGGTGTGTCTGGGGCACCTCAGTTAAAGCAAACTCTGGTGAGAAGCCTGAGATGGTTCCACCAGCAGTGCTCTCAGCCCTCTTCCCCTTCACACTGCCCCTAAGGGCCTTTCCCAGGAGGCCAGACTGCAGCTCCTCCCCTTGGCCCATGCCTCCGGGATGTCAAGGTGCCCAGGAAATGCAGCTCCCAGAACGTGAGAGGTAGCTTCACAAGTAGAAGGTACAGAACTGAGATGCCTGTGGCATGCCAGTGATCTGGGGGTTATCCTGCCCTCTCCCTGTACCTTTGTGATAAGGAGATTGGACTTGACAGGCTGCAAGACTCCTTTTTAAATTATGGAGATACACGTACATACACGCACACACAAATATGTATGTTTGAGCTAGGTTTAAGTCAGGAAGACAGTGTTTAAGTTATCAGTTCTTATTTTAAGAACATTGATTTGTTCTTTATGTTAAGTCTTTGTCTTTCATCTGCACAGATATTTTCTATATCCTTATTAAGAACTGAGTCCGCAGCCTTGGGGATGTTGGTTTTACTGAATACAGTAGCTAATATGAAAGATCTGGGGGTTACCTCCTTTGACTTCACAGGTTTAGTTGGACAAAGTTGGCCACAGTCTTAGAATGCTGGAGCAGGGACAGGGCAGTGAGCCACTGAAGGTTGGGGGACTTCAGAGATCCTTTTGGGTACATGTGGTCCTGGGCTGTAGGTAACTTCCCAGGCTTAGCACCGGGAAGGGGAAGAGCTAGACCCCACCAACACTGTCCCTCTGTTCTCCAACCAGCCTTCTTTCCCTGTGGTTTTCCATTTAAAATATCTGAAAATAAAGCAGTGTCTGGTTTGCAGAACAGTTTCCTAGTATGAAATTAGACTCTTGTAGAAGAAAATAAGTTAAATGCCTTACTTACGTAGTAGAGATTCGTTTGTCTTGTTAAGAAGGAAGTTTTCTGCTTAGCAATTTTTGTCTACAAGAAAATTTGTTTAATTTAAATAGCAAACCTACAATGTTTGGATTATTTCAGTAGGACACTCTCACATGTAGGGTTTATGTGCATGACTCCCCCAGCTCCCTTAACCAGACTCTAGTGAACATGATCCCACGTTGCTGCCTGTGAGCTGCCTCTGCTTTGGTCTACAGAGTCCCCAGCAACCCACTGTGTGGTTGTTGTCCCATATGTCACATCCCCTTTGTCTCTTGCTTCCGGGATAGCAGAGCTGGGAAGCCAGATAAGCTGAGTAGGGTTTCTGATATTAAAAGTAAATGGATTTGATTGAGGGTCTTGCAGGGAGGTATTCTTTCGATAAAATATGTACATCATATATATATGATTCTATTAAAGCTATTTGGGCTAGTCTAGGCTCTGTTTCCCCCCCCCTTTTTTTGGCCAAATTTTGGGTTCTTGCTATATTTCATATAATTAAGGTGAGTAACTTAACAATGAGGGTTTCTGTGTTTTGTGTCAGAAACTCTCTGTTGATTTTGTCAAGAAAATTGGCGATTGTTCTGGATCATGTGTCACTCTAGCAGTCAGCCCTATTCACAGGTGAATCTCATTAATAGTCGTAGCAGCTGTATGGTGGCAATCATAAGTAACCCTGGTGACCTTGTACCCACACCAGTGTCCCTTCTGTCACGCAGGGATCCCTGCCTGGTGGCAGTGTGTCGTGGGCTCGGGTGGGTTGGGTGTTTTTGCTTGCATGGGGTGATCTTAATGCAGCATTGCTGCTCCCTGAGAGGGAATCGGGGCCCACGCGGGACACCTCGGATCATTCACCACAGGGCAAAAGGAGGCCGGGTTGGACTCTCTCTTCCCAGGGTGTCTTTACCGAAAAGTCTTTAACTGTACTTCTAGACAAGCCCACTGAAAAACGTTTCTTGAGAAAATGAGAAATAACCAGGGGTAAGATTTCATCAGTTCACTCCCCACCCCCTTTCCCTGGCAGAGGCTTATTTGTACAACTGTTACTAACATATTTTAGGTTTTACTTCTGTGTTCCTCTGTACGGTTATTTTTAATGTTTTTATCAAGTTGATATGTGTCACAGCTCAAGCTGCCACAGGATGCTGAGTGCTTGTCACAGGTCCCAGCCTCCCCACATCTCTGCTCCCCTCAGGCCCCTCCAGATCTCTCAGCCATTTATTTTGCTGTTTCCCTCCATGTTGCTATATGAAAATCCTGTCTCCTAACTCATCCATGATCATACCTTGTTCGGGCTTTTTGCTGTGGTGAGGAAGGCTTCGCTTTCTCACAGCCCCTGCTGTCCTCTGCTTCACTTCTGTCACAGTCGAGTCACATGAGCGTTCAGCATTGACAGTGTCATGGCTGGCCCTGCAAGCCATTATGCAGCCATGATCACAGTGCTCCTCTGGTCCAGATGCTCTCTACCCAAGTTAATCATGCTCATGTTTTTCTTCCTGTTTGCTAAGTTCTCATTGCATCGGTAGCTAACTCTTCACAGATTCTCCAGCAGCCTCTCAGGAATTTCCTCCAGTCCAAGCTGTGAGATGACTCATCAGCGTTGTGTGGTCCTCCCTGGAGTGCTCTGCCCCTGCCTCTGTGTCCAGGGGCTGCCCTCTAGACCTGAGCACCATGTGTGGAGCTTTCTTTGGATGTCATCTTGAGGGTCCCTTCTCATGTCTTCTACTTTCTCGGCTTTACTCTCTCTTGAAAACCTCTCACTCGTCCGTGCTCTGAATTTTTTGATGTGGGTCTTTTTCGTTGGTCATGCTGAACCCTCCATGTTCTTTAGTCTGGAGTCTTGTGGTCTTCAGTTCTGGGGCATTTTTGTATCACTTTCTGCAACAGTCCTTCCCCTTCCCCCCTTAACATGCACATTCTTTCCAATTGAACATTAGCCCTCCTGAACTGACTCACTTGATTTTTTTTTTTAATATTTCTTCCTCCAATTGTCTGTTTTTTCTCTATTTTCTGAAAGATTTTATTTTCCAACCCATCTACTGAGTTTTAAATTTTTAGCATATTTTTAGTTTCTAAGAGCTTTTCCTTGCCGTGTGTGTTAAGTAGTATTCTACTCTTGGTTCATGGATAGTCGAAGTTGTCTTTTGTTTTCTGCATTCTGTTTTTCCTGTATCCCCAAGTTTATTCACTTTGGTCTCTGCTGTTTGTGATGGAGGCTTTCAAGTATTTGGGGACTCTTGGCTATCCTTTTAAATTTAAATGTGAGCCACTGGAAAGCTAGTTGGTGCTTGTGCGGTGCTGGGTTGTGGCAAGCTGGCTTTTCGTTGGCTGGCCCGCAGACGCTGCCATTCGTTAGTCTTTTCTTTGTTCCATCTCTCCAAAGAAATACTCTCTACTTCTTACTTGGAGCAGGCATGGGTTGGGGCTCCCATTTCATGTGTAGACTTTCTTTACCCCTTTTTCCAGCTTAGCCCCTTGCTTCCACCAAAGCTCTAGCCTCTGGTTTCTTTGAGAAATAAACCCCGAGTCTCTTGGGGGCTGGGAAAGATAAGTCATCTAGCTGCAGAGAATGGGGCGGGGGTTCTTACAGACTTCCAGCCAGTTCCCTCAGCTTCGAAGTCCCCCTGCCTGGTCCAGTCCCTGTGATTTTCTGGAATTCCCTGGGGTCTGCATGGGCTAGTCCCCTCTCAGGCCCTCAGCTTGCTTCCCTTCCCTGGCTTAGTTCTTGCTCCCAGGCCCCTCTAAGTGGTGCTGCCAGCATCAAGTCATTGCTTTGCCTGTTATCAACCACATTTGCTTTAATCCTGAACCCAAAACAGTCAACACTGAGGTACATCATCATCGTATATTAAATTGAGACAAGTACAGCAAACAACCTAAATTTTGGCCCTGGTGCTTTGAAAATCATTTTAAAAGTTCATTTCCGTTATTTTTCCTATACACAAAAACTTGAGTATATAGGCAGTTCCTAATACCATTTGTCCTCGGTCCTTAAAACATACTCATAAAAATAATTACCCCTCAGTGACAATCTTGAGTTTTAGGAAATTTTAGATACGGTTGGTGATCTTAATGTCTCTATTAAGGTCATAAAATTCCATCCCTGTCTGCTATCTACTTAGATGTTGGTCTCCAGATTTTTGAAGAATATCTCAAAAAAAGTATAATCCAGAGGAAGTACATGTAAAATAATATACTAAAAATCTCTTCAAAATAAACTTACAGGGCTGGCCGGTTAGCTCAGTTGGTTAGAGTGTGGTGTTATAACACCGAGTTCAAGGGTTTGGATCCCCATACTGGCCAGCCGTTAAAAAAATTAAAAGATTTTTAAAAACCCCAAACTTCCGGATCCTTTAAACTGTGTTTGTAAGTATATTATACTGAGATTGACTTGCAGAATTTTGTGTTCATTCATGTATAAAGTTAGGTTCCTATGTAAGTTCTCACATAGGCCTGATCTAGCTGTGTTGCAGGCCAGGCCTTGCACGCGGGTTGCTCCCTTCCTTCCTGGTCTGTGCCGTGGGCAATGATGGCAGCACCCCCAGTGGTGCTGGGAGGGAGAATTCATGCTTGTGCCATGCGCGGGCTAGAGCACAGCCTGGTAGACAGCAGGCCTTCCCTCGTGTTTTTGTGATGAGACGTTTATTAAAGAAGTGCCAGACACATCTTTAAAAAAAAAAAAAAAAAATAGAAGTGGCAGAATTTAATTCCCCAGCAACTAGAGGGAAATTGGGATCTTCAGTGCCTCCCGGGGCATCTTAGTGAGAAGGAGTCAGCCTGCGCTCCTTGCGCTCTGCAGTCCCTAGGGCTGCCTTCTGTGCTGCTCCTGTTTCTTCCCCTCTGTTCAGCTGGCACATCCTATTCCAGTTAGTAGTCCTTTCTAGTGTCCCTGACCATTCTCACTGGTTGCTTGAGATTTTTTTTTTTTTTTTTTTTTTTGAGGCTAGGAAGTGGGTGTCACTTATCTCCCTACAGGAAGCATGGGTGGGAACACGGTGGAAGAGAGGACTACAGGCTTCTCCTGCTGTACAATGGCTGGCAGGGGGCTCCGGAGTTATCCTAGCATCCATCCTATCTGCCTCAGCAGATGAGGGGCCTCAGCAGAGCTGAGTCACCAGTGTAAAAAATAATAATGTGGGGGGAACCGTGTGCCCCTAAATTAGTCTGTACAGGGTTTCATTTTATCTGCCTTTAATGTAAATAAGTCATTTATTTGTCAGATCCTTGGTTTTCTCCATCTGAAGTCATAAGCTACTTGGATATATCATATTTTTCTGTTTTCTAATGTTATTTTTAAATTGTTTAAAAGCTTCAGTTACAGTTAAACCAAGATCTAAGCATCTTGCATCAAGATGATGGCTCATCTAAGAATAAAAGGGGAGTTCTGCCGAAGCACGCTACCAATGTGATGAGATCCTGGCTCTTTCAGCACATAGGGGTAAGAACAAAAGTGATTTCCTAGTTAGCAACCCTCTGTGATGCTTTGTTTCTGGCTTATGTGTCATGGGAACGATTCACTTATATGGGCTAGTAGGCCTGATTTTAAAAATCAGTATGAAAGAGGGTCACCCACAAACGGAGGCCACTGCTCAAGAAACTTAAAATACAACAAGGGATCCCTCTGGTGAAAAGGGAGTAAATCAGGCTCGTGGTAGTGGTATGCATGTGTGTGAGAAAACCCTACTTATGGAGAGTGGTGGGGCGAAGTGAGGTTAATTAGAGAAGTGGGTGGAGAAGAGGCGCATTTGGGCAAAACCTTGGAAAGCAGTGAGGTTTTACAAACTGGATTTGAGAGGAAGATGTGATAAAGCTGAAGATAGAGATGTGGAGTCAGGCATGTCGTCAGCGGGGCCAGCAGTGGGCTTGTTTAACTTGAGATGAATCGTATGTGTGCACCATTTCCTCCTGGGGTCGCAGCTTTGGGTGAGCAGGAGCAGTGTCTTCTCCTTGTCTCAGAGATGTTTTGTGAAGCACAGGGCAGGGATATGCTTGCTGAGCTAATGGGGAAGACATGCTCGTCATGCTGTGCAATATGGTCATTGCAAGCACACTGACCCAGGGTGGCTTGCAGAGGGACACACTGGTCTAGTGGCCAGGGTCAGGAGTGAGCAGGTATGGTCTTGGAGGAGTGCACAGTGAGGCCAAGGTGGGAAAGTAGATGCAACCTGCTGAGCCCCAGGTGTGCCTGGGAGGAGGGGAGAGGGACAGACATCCATCTCAGGCAGGCTGCTGCCCTGTGGCCTCTTGCTGGCCCCTTCTGCTGCACAGTGAAGCAGCCTTTCAGCAGGCCCCCATTTAGCGTTCAGCTCCTTCTGCATGCTCCTTCAGCACGAGGCCACCACCGGGCTGCTCCTGAGAGTGTGCCCAGCTCCACCCCAAGTCTGTCCCCTGCTCTTCACTGCCCTCGCCACTGAGCCATGTCTTCTTGAGGCTGTGGTCGCTTCTTCTCAAATCTTCCTGTCTGTGTTCTGCTGTCAGCAGAGGTGTCTGCAGCCTTGGTCGTCATGCCCCTCCCCTGCCATCATCTTTCTCAGGCACCCTGTGCCTGGGGCTGAGGCCTGCAATGTCACTCTGTTCATTGTCACTCTGTCTCCACCTCCCCCTAGCTGGGAACCCCTGAGCCAGCACCCTGTCTTGCTGGTCTCATGTCCCTGCAGGGTGTAGCCCTCATCCATTGTTGAACCCCCTTTGATCTGACTGCATTCGGGCTCCTTGGTGGGGGCAGGGTTCTGGGGAGGCACTGGCTTGTGGGCTTGAAACTAGCAGGTGATGGGCCCGGCCCGGTGGCGCACTGGATAGTGCGCCGCTTGGGAAGCGCGGCGGCGCTCCCGTCCGAGGGTTCGGATCCCATATACAGGCCGGTTCCCGCTCACTGGCTGAGCGAGGCGCGGGAGCAACGCCGAGGCTTGCGATCCCGTTGCCGGTCCCCGGTCCGGTACGGGGGCAACACTGAGGGTTGCGATCCGTTGCCGGACACGAAAAAAGATAAAAAGGAAAAAAAAAAAAAAAAAAAAAAAACTAGCAGGGGATGTCATTGAGCAATCCTGGGAGGAGAAGGGGAGCCCAGGATGCCACCCCCCCACCCCCCATCACTGCCGTGGGCCAGGTCTCCCAGTCTCTCTCCCCATTCCTTATGTCAT